AACTATGTGCAGAGGGAGCTGAATTTCCAGAAGTTGCTTGTGGAACTCATAATACGGGTGTGGTCATGGGAAATGCAGGCAGCAAATGCACGGGGCATCAGGTTAGAACTGTCTAATGCCCCGGTTCCCAGCAGGGCTACACCAGCCCTAGGCTGTTCTGGTGCAGGACCAGGCAAGCTGAGTTCTGGGACCAGCCCCTCCTGCCCGCTGGATGCCTGCCTGCTGGCTCTTCTGAAGCTTGGCAGTATCAAGCATCGTAGAGAGGCTTTGAGTAGACAAACATACCGGCCACCTACCAGCCATTTCATCCATCTTTCATTCTTTCATTTCTTTCTTTCTTTTCTTTTTCTTTTTTCTTTTTTTTTTTTTTTTTTCTTGAGACAAAGTCTCAGTCTGTCACCGAGGTTGGAGTGCAGTGGTGCAATCTCGGCCCACTGCAACCTCCACTTCCTAGATGCAAGCAATTCTTGTGCCTCAGCTTCGCAGGTAGCTGGGATTACAGGCATCCACCAACATGCCTGGCTGATTTTTGTGTTTTTAGTAGAGACACGGTTTTGCCATGTTAGCCAGGCTGGTCTCAAACTCATGGCCACAAGTGATCCGCCCACCTCGGCCTCCCACAGTGCTAGGATTACAAGCATGAGCCACTGTGGTTTACAGCCATAAACAACTAATATGTGTGTTGATAGTTTAGTGTCCAGGGTATAGAAGTGTTCTTATCCCCAAGTTCCTAGCAGACACCACTCTGTTACCAGCACATTCCATGGACTCGGGGACTCATTCGTCTTCGTGTGTTGAAGCAGGTGCTCTGAAAAGGCTACCACGTGGAGGGCTGCTTTGCAGTCCCCATTGTCAGGGAGGGAAACAGGCGACCCCCCAAGGAAAGAAGAACATCCAAACCTCGCACACAGAGCTAATGGTAATAATAATGGAATGAGAATTCATTGATTTTGCCCATTTGGATTCCATGAGCCCCATGTCTGAAAATTAGCTGTGGTTGCCATAACCGTAATTATACTCAGCAGGGCAGAGTTGCTTGCTGATTTATGACGCACAGTTGTGACCTGGGAGTAGCTGTCATCCTCAGCTGCTCACACGGACACAACAACGGCCCTCTGTGTCTATAACGGGGAGTATCAATTACTTTCCTGCAGCAGGAAGAACAGCTCAGAGTCTTGGAATGATCTGGACAGAAACGTTAAACGCTTGTCTCGTATAAATTCAGCCCGCATCCATCTGGGCTCATTAAATCATTGAGTTGCTCAGAAGCACCAAATTACATCTTTCTAACAAATTATATTTTTAAAGCTGCTTGTTTATTTCACATCTGGAAGTTGAGGCAAAAGCCAAAACTTGCATTCTGAGTCTGAGAAATCATCTCGCCCTTTGCCTTCCTTTCTTTCCTTGGGGAAGAGAGAGGAGGAGCAAGTGTTCGGAAGAGGTAGAGGATAGCAGAAGGCCACAGGTAGGATGGCGCTGGTCCTGTGGGTCCTCGCAGCCTCGGTTTGTGTGCATGCGGTCTGATTTCACAGACCGCTGGCTGCATCTCGGCAGCCATCTGTCCTCCTTCAAGGAGGGCCAGCAGGAAGCCCTCACAGAGACGCTGGGCTGGGAGGAAGGAGGTGCCTCCGCCTGCCCTCCTTCCTCCCGGACTGCATGTCCCTGAGAGCAGCGTCTGGTTCACCAGCAGACAGCCCGTGGGAACCAGTCCAGTCCTCGTGCACCTGCAGACACTCCGAGACACGTAGAGTTGGCTGGTACTCGGGGCTGGGACCCAGAACCTGGCCTGTTGTTCTTCCCCAGGATTAGGAACACTGCACCCCTAAGTCAGCCTCAGGAACCCCTCCTCCATGCCACCTCCTCTCACCAGCCTGACGCAAGCTGGACCCATGTGCCCATGGGCTGTGCGCTCCATAGGGCTGGACCTTTGTCTCCTGTCTGCACATCTTTCCTGAGCCTGGCACCAAGCCAAACTGCCCCAAAGCCATGGCTTCTGCGCCCCAGTCTCTATGGGTATGTGGGGTGGGGGAAGGCAAAGGCTTCCTCCCTGAGCATGCACTCAGCTCGATTTTCAGTCACCAGTGTGCACGCATTCCCTCCCAGAGTTGCTGAAAATCCGCCTTCCCTAGTCCATTCCCCGTAAGTCGTATCAAGTAGGTCCAGGATGGGCCCAGGGAACTGTAGGGGGTCCTGAAGTATGTGAGCCACACTTGGAGCACGTGTGCAGTAATCCCTGTGGCGATGGGGCTTGCAGGCTGGTGCAGGAGGCAGGATGAGTTGGGTAAACAGGTTAGTGGTCGGGCGGTAGAAGGTGGTGAGAGCTGGGAAAGGGCAGGCCCCGCATGGCCACACAGGGAAGGGCGTTCTGGGCAGAGAGAGCAGCATACGCAGGAGCCCCGAGGTGGGTGCACCTGGGGCCGCCAGGGCACGGCGGAGCAGAGCTGGAGGAGTGGGAGGGGCGCAGCATGGAGGGCCTGGAAATGCTGGGATGTTTAGACTGTGGCCCCTCCTCTAAGAGGGATGGGGACTGCTGGAGACTTCTGAGCCTCTGCCCAAAAGGAGCCTCAGCTGCGAGGCAACTGAGTCCGAGCAGGGTGAAAGCAAGAGGCCCAGAGCGGGCAGCTGCCAGGACCAGGAGCCACCCACAGAAGCGCCGCACAGATGCCACCAGGGAAGGCATCCAGAGCCACAGGGGCCATGTCTCCTATCTCCTAGACAGCCTCAGCGTCTGTGGAGAGGGGTACCCGGGCAGTCCAGTGCTGGTTATTGAGCGTCTTCGTCCTGCCAGGCCCATCTCAGTGCTACTCAGCAAAGTGGGTGTCGGAGGAACGGTCAGCCGGGGGTTTTTAGGCAGAGAGAACAGCTGCACCCTGCCTGCCACAAAATCCACCACATGTGGGATCTGGGCTTTAGACCAGAGGCTCAATACCCTGGTGCCCCAGGGGCGTCTCCTCTCAGGCCTTACTGCACATTCCTTACCCACACAAGGGCTGGGGGCGTGCAGAGGCCCAGCCAGGCATCGGGCAAGCATGCCGCTGTGGAGTTTCCCCAAGGCAGAGGGAGACCCAGCTGGTGGGAGTGAGTACGGGGCCCTGCCTGTCAGGCTGCAAGCATGAGGGCCGAGGGCACAAGGCCTAGCTGGTTTGTCCTTGGCAGTGTTTCAGACGAAGGCTCTCCTGGGGCCACCACAGCTGCTTCTCAGCCTTGTTCCTCCTCCTCTGCAGCTTGCAGGATGAGTGTGGGACAGAGCAGGGCTGTGTGTGTGTGTGTGTGTGTGTGTGTGTGTGTGTGTGTGTCCTGTCAAACACAAACACAGCCGGACACTAGTGAAAGTGGTCAGACAAGTTTTAATCAGCAACATGATGGACATTTGCAATGGGGAATAGGGTCCAGGGTGAGCTGAGCTCAGATTCAATTGGCACACAAATGACTGGGGGTTTCCAAGAGAGAATGAGGAGCAGGGAGGCAGTGAGTGGGGGCTCAGGAGAGTGAGGGAAGTGAAAAGTTACAGATGGTGGAAGCGGGTGGTCTGTGCGAACACATCTGGACACGCTGACGTGTTCACTGAAGTCAGGAGACAGGCCCTGTCCTCAGGTGTGGCTGGAACTCACAGTCGATTCTTTTGGCTGCCGTGAGGTTTCTCAGGCAGGCACTTTAAGGGGGGCTGGGGTCAGCCTAGGGATGCCACCTTGAGCTGTTAGAAGCTATGTTAGTGGTTGTTCAAGTTGTTATAGGCAGAGGTGAGTCCCAGCCAAGAAGAGGGTTCAGAGGAGCCAGGCTGGAGTGTGGTCCAGGAGAGAACTCTTGGTCAGTATCACAGCTAAGTGTTGTCAGGAGCACCTGCCACAGCGCAGAGAGCCCCTGGGGTGCACTCAGAGCTCCAGCACCTGCCATGCAGCACACCCCATGCCCCTGGGCCCCTGCAGGCAGAGGCCATGCAGGGAAGGCCCCAGGGAAGGCTCCTGTCTCTGCTTCTACACTACGGCATATTGGTCTGAAAACAGGGACTCCAGAGAGGCCTCAGAGGCTGCAGGGGGCCCAAGTCTTGTAGAAATGAGACGTGGGGAAAGTTGGGCCTTATTGATGATGATGTGGCCTCAGCCAGTTCCAAAGCTAAGGCACTGGGAAAAAATCTTACAATTTTTGGAGCACATCTAAAAATAAGGACAGGTTGGGCATGGTGGCCCATGCTTGTAATCCCAGCCCTTGGAGAGCCTGAGGCCAGCGGATCACTTGGACTTAGGAGTTCAAGACCAGCCTGGGCAACATAGCAAGACCCCATCTCTACAAAAAAATTTAAAAATTGGCTGGGCATGGTGGTGTGTGCCTTGGTTCCAGCTACTCAGGAGGCTGAGGTGGGAGGGTCACTTGAACCTGGGAGCTCAAGGCTGCAGTGAGCTAGGATCATACCATGGCACTCCAGCCTGGGTGGAAGAGCAGGACCCTGTCTGGAAAAAATAAGGACCACTTACCAAAACAATGTTCCAAGTACCTTTCACACATGGTGCACCAGCCTGTGGGGTGGTGCTGCAATTGAGGGGCTGCGCTTCTCAGAGGAACCGACAGAGGGAGAGATGAGGACAGGAACCCGGGGTCTCCACGTTGGGATGGGGCAAATGGGGACACAGTTTGTCCTGACCCTCCCCGGCCCCTGCCCCTGGCAGGCTGCAGTCTGGGTGGGTGGGCCAGGGCAGGAGTGCAGACGTGAGATGGGGGCTTATGCTTGGGTGGAGAATCTTCAGGGGGGGTGGAACAGTCCAGCTTCTGCATAGATCAATGTCTAAAAGGACAGCAGGGGGAAATGTCTTTTAAAATTTTTTTACAAAAAAATGAAAAATTTCAAAAGAGTTTTGAAAAAATTAAAAATAAAGATAAATTATATAAAGTGGGAAAATAGCAGCAAACGACAATAATTCACACCGAGGAAAGAGAAAGAGAAAGCACGACCCGGCAGACGCAGACTCTCTGGGCAGGGCTCACCCTCTGTGCTGTTTCCCCAGGTACCGCGTGGTGGTCTCGTACCCACCCCAGAGCGAGGCGGAGATCGAGCTGAAGGAAGGCGACATCGTCTTTGTGCACAAGAAGCGTGAGGACGGCTGGTACAAGGGAACCCTGCAGCGGAACGGCCGCACGGGCCTCTTCCCGGGCAGCTTCGTCGAGAGCTTCTGAGGACTGGTGCTCCCTGCACCCGGCTCACAGAGCAGGAGGCTGCCTGGGAAGCCCCACGGCACACAGAGAGGGAGCCACGGCGCTCCAAGAGTTCCAGGTCGTCTCCAAGGCACCTGGCGGGGGACGCCCTGGCCCAGGGTGGGGGCCAGGGACTGTGGAGGTCGTGCCTTCTCCCAAAACCCCCAACGGAGAGCACACCTGGGATGTTCTTCAAGGAAATGCCCACCCCCTCTGTAGAAACTGCAAAGAAAGCGCCTTGAGGAAGAGAGGCAGGTGCCGGCGCAGGCAGGCCTGTGGCTGTGGCTTGCAGCCACGGCAGCGTTCATATTTACCACCTAAGCTGGATTGGAGGTTGCAGGAGGTCTGCAGGCGAGGTGGGTGGCATGGGGGCCAAGAGCGCCGGAGATCATCTTTCTGCGCTGCCCTGGGCTTCCCGCGGGGCTTAGGTTGCTCTGTCACCATTCTATATACCTCAGTCACCTGCCGCCCGGCTGCTCAGCAGGGGTGTTCGTGGTCCTGGGGGGCCTCACATGAGGCCCTGGGGATCCCCCGGAAGGCCACCCCACCGCCCCTGTGGGAACCGGAGCAGAATCTGTGGGCTTGTCTCCTGCCAGTAGTATAAGCAACACTTTCTGTTCACCACCACTGTCCCTTGCGTTACTTCTTTCTTACGGCATATTTTTAACGTAAAGCTGTTAGACTTTATATATTTCTAATAGGTCAGACATTGCCTATTTTTCATACATCTGGTGCTGCCTTTTTGTAAAACTAGTAATGACTTGGTTGAGCTTGAAAGAAAGGATGTCTGAGGCGACATCAAAGGGGCAGAATTTTTATATTTCCCATATGGGTTTGGGAGAGCGCCGAGAAGCCCCCATCCCGCGCCTCAGTGCCGGCCAGTACTCCGGGGGCTGGCGGGGTGGATCCATTGAGGGGGTTGGAGGGAGCTTGGAAGCAGCCGGTTTCTTTAAACTCTTACCAAAACCCCGTGCTTCCGTCTAGACGGTGATAATTAGTATTCAAGACCTGGAAACATTTCGAGGAAGGACCACTAGAATTGTCCTTTTGTGTGGCGGTAGAAGGAGCACGCAGGTCAACCCCAGCCGGAAAGGCAAAATCTTCCCTTTACTGCCTCGGAGAGAACTACCATTAGCATTCTCAGAAGATGATTTTTTGGTATCAAAATGTGCAGTTTCTACAACAGTTCAGATCACCACCACCATTTTTCTTCTTCTTTAAAAATAAATAACTGCTCCCGTTTCAGGCAGTGCAAACTTTCATCTGCTGGAGACCAGAGGGACGAGGAGATCAGGGGGCTGCAGCACCGTTGCAGGCGTGCAAGATCGGGGAGCTGGGAGGGCGAGAGAGGAGGAGTTGTAGCTTTGATGCTGGGAACTCCCTGAGTGGGGCTGATGAATGTACATTCATTAGCACCACGGCTCACCTCCCAGGAAGACTGATGAGGAGTCCTTTGGGAGACGGTTTTGTTCTCAAGATTCACACCTTAGGAACACATTTTTATCACCTCAGAATTTTGATCCATCACCCCTCTCTCCACCTATATTTTTACAAAAACCATTCAGACTTAAATTAAGCTGAATAAACTAGCCTTTGGTAACATAGGGTAACACTGGTTTTCAGGGATGTAACCAATTCCGGAAATACATTCTCTTGCCTGGCATGAAGCCTTTGAAACACGGGCTGCTTATTTTCAGAGTTCCTGTTTTGGGACGTGTCTTGGCTACTTGTTACTTCCAGGTGGTTGCCACACGACAGGGGTCATGCCTTTGCCTCCCTCCAGATGATAATGGATTTAATAGACTTGGGAAAGTTGTTCAGAATCAAAGAAGAAAAAGTCTGGCTTAAACATAGGAACTTCTGTGTGCCAATTTGATGACAACCAAAAGCTGTCTATTTACCATTATTGCCAAACTATCAGTTGCCCATCCAGCACCAAAATCCTGTGCATGTTTAAATTCACGTCACCAAAGAGGTGCACAGATCCAACAACCTGGATGACGCAGGTGTTCTCCAGGGAAACCAGATGAAGTCAAGTCTCCAGGTTAACTTTTTTAAGTCTTTTTTTTAAGGCATGCAGCTACCAAGCAACAGAATAGAGTAACCTGAACGTTCTTCCTCTCCCAGGCATGGCCCACATGGTGCTTCCGGTTGAAATGTGTTTCGCCCTCCTGATGGGGGGCGAGGCCACAGCCCACTACATGCAGCACGGTAGAGAGCTGGGGCGAGTGTCGCCATGTCCTTGGAAGATGTCAGCTGGCCCCTTCCAGGGCAGAGTCGGGTGGGCATTGGTGCCACCTTAGGAAGGAGAGCGATGCGTGGGTCTGGCCAGGGCTCTGGAGCCAATGCCAGGCTGCCTGAGGGCAGAGGAAGTGCATGGCCCATGTGCATTTCTGAGTATTTTAAACTCGTCCAGCCCCTGCAGCCTTCGTGATGATGTAGCTTGCAGACAAGAGCAGGAGCAGAATTAGCCCTTTCTTCAGGCCATCTTGCCTCAAAGGGCACACATGTTTTGGCGGTTAAGATGAAACTAACCCTTATGTTTCATCCTAGTCCCATGATGTACACATCTTAGCCATGCAGTGGCCTTGGGTGGCCACAGAGATTGACTTTGAGGAGCTTGGTAGAGTCCACAGCCATGACTGAAGTCAGTGGACACCGAGGGGACAGGACTGCAGGTCACCAGGGGCCTCTGCCCAGAGCGAGGCAGAGAGGATGGTGGCCGCAGGCACTCTCCTGGCATTCTCATGGGGTGATGCCAGGCCAGGCACCTCAAAACAAGCTCAGCCGACTGGGAGATCCTTTGTACTTTGCACAGTTCACACACACACCCCACCCCAAGTGTTTTTGTTAGACACAAATGTCAGCGTGTGATCTTGGAAGACTTGTCAGTGATGATGAACCATGATGCCTGTGTTTCTGAGTCTTTAAATAAAAATGAACATGGAGAAGGCTTGTGTCTGCATGTTGGGAGCAGCAGGGTCCAGCTGAGGCCGAGAGGGACCTGGGTAGGAGCAGAACCCGAAGGCATGGCCCACGTGCCTGCTGACCAGCCCAGCTGGCTCATGCACCTGCCCCTCAGTGCTCTTGGTGGGGCGGGGGCGGGCAGCGAGTCTGTATCAGGATGGTGTTGGTCAAGGAGATGAGAAAGTCGTGACATCAGCTGTCTGTACCCAGCACACGCCAGAGACCCAGGAGCTGGGCAGTAAGAGCCAAGCCACAGAAGCCATCAGTGGGCTGGGCAGGAAGGGTCTCCAGTTCCCCTCTACTGGCTCGTGTGCCTGGAAAGGCAATGTGGCTTGCTGTAGATGACTAGCCTCCTTTTCTTGTCATTATTCAAGTCCCGCTCAACCAGAAGTGCCTGGTATTGACCTCTGAGACCAGCACTCTCCTGGTCCTACCCTTGTCTCTGTGGTCCTTGGGGTGCCTGAGCCATGGCAGCCATTCTCTGGAGCACAGGATGGGGGTGCAGGGAATCCCACCAACAGAAGGGCCCAGAAGGCCACTGATCTCTAGAAAGGTGTGTCTGTCTCCAGTCAGCCAGCCTGACACCTGGCAGAGAGCTGGCCCACCAGCCTGATCCATGCCTGGAACCACATGTTTCTTGAAACAGGCTTTCACTGTTCTCTTAGCTGAGACACACATCCACGTATACATTTGAGCTGGAAGAACACTTAGCAAACAGCCATTTTACTCTACTGTAAAAATTAAGTGGGCCGGGCATGGCGGCTCACACCTGTAATCCCAGCACTTTGGGAGGCCAAGGCGGGTGGATCACGAGGTCAGGAGATCAAGACTATCCTGGCTAACACGGTGAAACCCTGTCTACTAAAAATACAAAAAATATTAGCCGGGCGTTGTGGCAGGTGCCTGTAGTCCCAGCTACTCAGGAGGCTGAGGCACGAGAATGGCGAGAACCCAGGAGGCAGAGCTTGCAGTGAGCCGAGATCACACCACTGCACTCCAGCCTGGGTGACAGAGTGAGACTCCATCTCAAAAAAAAAAAAAAAAGTAAGCTTGCCAGGCACAGTGGTGCATGCCTGTAGTCCTAGCTACTCCGGAGGCTAAGGCAGGAGGATTGCTTGAGCCCAGGAGTTCAAGTCCAGCCTGGGCAATAGAGAGATCCTTGTATGAGCAAATAAAATAATTTTTTTTTAAGTGAACTTGTTTGTACAAGTTCACTTTAAATGAACACAGCATGGACAGTCATTGGGAGGTTGGTGCAGGCCTGGCACTGTGGAAAGGAGATCTGCTGTGTGCTCACTCACTCTCCAGACAAGGCTGTGCAGACACCACTCTTGCCTCCATTTGCTACGTGAGCAATCAAGTTTGTAAAAGGTTAAATGAATTGCCCCAGGTCACATAGCTCAGTGGACAGCCATGACTCAAACTCAAGTCTATTTATCCAATGTCAAGTCTACCCTCACAACTCAAAAGCTGGGTGCCAAACCTGTACTCCTTAATAGAATTGATACCTCAAGCACAAGAGTGTAGGAAGAGGAGAGCCAGAGGAAATGTACAGTGTCCACCACAGTCTGTCTGAAGAGGATATCTGGCAGGCCATCCCAGCCAGCCTGCCAGGTGGAGAGATCCTGCCTATAGAAATTACACAGCAACCCATCAGGGCCTGATGCCATTTTACATTCAAATCACATACCCCACTGCCCGTGTTCCAAATCCATGCTCCTAAGCAAACAAGTAATTTGCCTTTACTGATTTAGCAACCACAGGGAGAACAGTGGGAGTCAGGGTGCTATCTGAACAGTAGTCTACCACTTGGTCTGTGTAGCTGAGATGTTTCTCATTAGCTGCCAGTGAGCTGGGCCTTCAGTTGAGGCCTCAGTCTCTGTGGGTTTTGTGATGGGAGTTGGTATCCATGCCTGTAACTGACACTGACAGGTGGTGTGCTTGAACTACGGAGGGGTGTTGGGTCTCCTTTCCTGGGAGAAAGGCTCCATGGCCAGGCCTATGCCAGGAGCTGCAGAGTGAGCCAGGAGAGTGAGCACCACTAGCTCTCAGCAGAGCTGCGAAGACAACACACAGGTGGCCATGGCACGAGACATTTAACCTTGAAGAGGCACCTAAACAACCTTGTGAGGACCCTGGAGAGAGGGAGCCACACTCTTGGAGACCTCCCCTGGGGCCTTGCAGAGGGTGGGACAGGACTGGGTGGGGGCTTCTCAGATGGAGGGAAGGGAGACTATTCACAGCCTTTTATCTGCATAGAGTTGTCACATACGTCATGTCACTGGGTCCGTACAACAGCCCCCAAAGTGTGGTTCGTATCATCCCCGTTTTACAGGTAAAGAAGCTTGATTCCACGAAGTTCTGTTGTTAGCTCTGAATTAAATCAGAGGCAGAGCCAGGACTTCTGACTTCCAATCTCTGGCTTTTCTTGAATGCAGCAGAAATACTAAAATGATGGTTCTGACAAGGGGCTCTGCTGGTAGCACTAACCACCTAATAAGGTGGGACTGCTATCATATTGTTCCAAAGATGGGGAAACTGAGGCACCACAGTCCAATGCTTGGTGTGAGGCCACGTGCCAGGTCAAGCTGTGGTTCAGCCCCAGTGCTCAGTCGCCCCACACAGAGCAGTGGGAGAAGAGGAACAGGCTCGGGCAGGCCTTGATGGCTGGGCGGAGTCCATGCCAGTCCCACAGTCTTGGGGGCTGGAGGCTGCAGGTGGAGACTGGCCAGGAGTGGTCGGCTCTGAGCTCTACCTAGGGGAGAATGGCCTGGGCAAAACGTGAGCAGGGAGGAAGGTCTAAATGCCTTTGCCAGTGTTGAGGCCTTAAATGCCAAGGCAGAGCACAGCGCCTGCCCACCGCCATGAAACATGTGCTGCCCCAAGACTCGAGCTGAGGCTAGAGATGCGCCCCCCTCCTGAGCCGGCCCCACCCCTGGCCGGGCCTCACAGACCAGGGACCGTCTTGGAATCGGTCAGGACCCTTCTAGGGTTGGGCAACCTGTCGGAGTTCTTTTCTCCCTTCTGTTTCATGTCACCCTTCCAGGGGGTTCCCTTCACTTCTCAAAGAAGATCACATTCAACTGACCACATGGGACACATCTGGGGCCTGTAAGCTGTTGAAACCCTGCTTCTGGTCTACCTGTGGCCCCAGAATCTGAGGCTGGCTACATTCTGCTGACTGTCCTCTCTGTGCTCTCCTCCAGCACCAGAAGCAGTGGTCTCCATCTTCCCACAGTGATAGGAGCCTGTGCTGCCCACCTTGTGGCTCCAGACCTTGACCCCTCCCTCAGTGAAAATCCTGGGCTTGGCCCAATCCCACACCAGGGCCAGCTGGTGTTTCACATGGTAATAAGGGTTAAATCCCAGACACCCAAGAAAGTGGCAGCAGCGTGTTTGTCCGGGGCCCATCATTTGAACATGCCCCAAAATCCAACTGGAATAAGTCAAAAGAGGACTTCTTGACTCAACTGAAAAGCCAAGGGCAGTCAATCAGACGTGTGCAAATGATGGGGCTGGTGTTCCATGAGGACACTTGGCATTCTGCTGGACCTGGGGATGTGGGACATCTTGCAATGTGTACAATAGTCCCACATGGCAAAGCCTGTCCTGTCCCAAATGCCAAGAGTGGGTTCACTAAGAAACACCGGTTTAGGTGAGTTTGCTTCAGGCATAGCTGGGTCCAGGTGCTCACATGACGTTTGAGGGTATTGCTGGGCTCTGCTGCCCACCCTGTGGCTCCTTCCTCAGCAGGATTTCCCCACCTTACAGCACAGTGAGGACCAGCAGGTTCAGGATGCCATCTGACACCTTCCCCATCCCCGCAGAAATAGGCCTGCTCCTTCTCCATGGGCCCAGCCAAAACCCTGGTATTGACTCTCACTGGCTCCATTTGGGCCCGTGCTGCCCTCCCTGACTCAGTCATTTTGGACAGGGGACAGATATATGCTGATTGACAGCACCTGAGGTGTCAGCCCTGCCCAGACTTCATGGATTGGGACTGGGGGTGAGAAGATGCATGTAGAGCTATCGGCAAAAATAAAAGGAGCTTGTGACTGGGCAGACAAAAACTACAGATGCACACTCCCCAGGGCTGCTCCCCTAGGACACTGCTGCAGAACCCCACGGCAGTGTGCAAGAGCGTCCGAGGGCCACCATACCATATTTAGGAAAATGAGACATAAAAACTGGATCTAAAAGAAGTCCCAGAGGAAACATCAACAGACGTGGACATCATTACAAATGTGAAGAAAGAACTCTTTATTTGGAAGAACTCACGTTCTGTAATGTTCTAAAAAAAATGGAACCAGATGAAAGCCTGGAGACAGCCAGGAAGTGTCACATGGGACACCCACTTACCACACCCCTCGATGGCCTGGCTTCACCCAGTCACTCATCAGATCAGTGAGCAGTCACAGATGAATGTAAGTGCTCAGACAGGGCACCCCAGACAAGGCATGAAAGGACAGACACAGCTGCCCATCCCAGCCAGAGTTCACATCTGGAGAGGAAGGCAAGCTGCATGGGTAGTCATGGACTCGGTGGTCTGTGCCTGAGGAGCAAAGGTTCTACAAGCCTGAGACAGGGGGATGCAGTCCACTCCATGATGGACCCCAGAGCGCTTCCTGCCTGGATGTTCTCGGCAAGAATGCACAACACCAGCACATGAGGCAAGGAGCTCACTACCAGCTCACCCATTCCTGCCAGGAGAAATGGAAGGAAGTGCCCATCCACCAGGGTCATACAGGACTTGCCTCTACTCATTCATTCAACAGCTACTTCCACTCTGGGCCCAGCACCAGTGTCACGGAGATGAATCCAGGCAAGAGGATCCACTCCAGGTATTCAGGCCTTCCTGGAGGTCTGCCTGGTGGGGCCCAGCCGCCTGTCAGATTATGCTGTATTTGGTGCTACGGAAAGAAGTGTGCAAACCCACAGTGCCTGTATCAGTCGCTTGGGCTGCCATATCAAAATACCATGCACT